GTGGTGTACAGAGGCCAAATGCCAAAACATTATCCTTGTTCCAATATTTCTGGTCCTGACTAAAGTAACAGAAGGCCATTACATCAGCAAGGAGAATGTTAAAGTACAGAGGCAACAGCAACAATTTCATATACATTTGTTTCCATTACATTTTTATGTCTGCTTTTGATATGCAGTTTTCCTCCACAACAAAAGCAAGCATTCAAATGGGAATTAGCAGCTCACATCATCTCACAAAATCAACCAAAAGAGTATTTTCATGGCTTATCAGAGCAATTTTGCTTTGGGGAAAGAAGCCAGATCACGCAGAGATTACGAAAGAGAAGAAGAACCTTTGTTTTTCCCAGTTACACCTGTTTCATTAGTGAAACTAAATCAAACCTTTTCACTGAGCATGTCAAATTTGCGTACCATTCATTTAACGGCACCTTTTAGGGACTGAGACAAAAATATGCCACAGGAAAAATGTTATCAGAGAGCATACTGATGTGGTTGAAAACACCCCACAAATATGAATACAGTGATATCTTTTTAATGAAAGAACTGATTGTCAAGGGTAGAATAAATATATTAGTTCAGATTATCAGTAATATCAAGGCTGGGCAACTCTGCGTGTTTCCACAGTAATCAAGGAAAGCCAAATTATGGTGTCAATATGAAAGGTTCCAACTGGAAAGTGTTCTCAATGTACAGGGATGGAGACTGTAAGTTGTGGATCCACAAGCTTGTGTCAAGTGCCCCAAATCAACAGACTCTGAAAAGATGATGATGATGATGAAGGTGATCTGGAGTGGGGGGCAAAGAGAGACTTTCTTTTTCTCCTACAGGAAATTGCATTAGAAGAGATGCCAATGAACTGCCATTGGAAGATGAAATCTGCTGCCTAAAGGAATCCACAGTCTTCTGGACACTAGCTTAGGACAACTGTTCCCCCCATGGTGGGGTAGTTGCCTCTCTGGCACACAAACCAGATGCCTTTTCCTCCACTGCCCGAGGCATGGGGATTATCAATGGCCTCTCGATGACCAACACTGGATTTACAGCAACAGCCAAAGTTCAACTATCCCATCAGCCCACACAATTTGAGAACAAAGGGTCGAGAAACAGCTGCTTCTTTGTTCTTGTATTTCTCAATAGGCAGACCAAGGAGGAGACTCACAGCAATTATTCTAGTACCCCAATCCTTGAATTCAAAAGCAAGGTAAAAAAACATGCAAGACTGTAGGCCTTTTCAACATTCGCCAATGGAATAAATAATGCTTGGTGGGGACCTGAGAGGGCAGTTTAGATTTCAGAATATCTAAAAATAAAATTAAAAACAAACAAACAAACAAAAACCACAATTAACTCAGGTAAAACAGGAGCTGCCCACTCCTCTAAGAGTTAGATTTAGGATAGGGGAAAATTGACATGTCCAAAGCATCCATTTCATAACTTTCACGATGGAACAGGAGTTTGAATTTGGGCAGTATAATCATTATGATCTACAATGCTTCTGGTTTCTCAAAAGAAACAAAAGACAAACATTGCTGGTGAAAAACAAAAAAAACAAACAAACTGGGTTTTGCTGATGAAAAACGAAAAAGCTGGAAAAACGAAAAACCTTATACATACTATAAAATGATAATATTAAGCCTAACTTTTCTGCCTGATGGTCTCATCCTTCAAGAGTAATATCCACACAAGGAGGCCACAAATGAGGTTTGTAGAACAGAACCAGCTTTTATCATGAACTCTTTGAAACTGCATCTTCAAATATTGTTGAAACTTTATTAACAAACCAAAGCCTGGTTTCCATATTGTGGTCCAATACAAATGAGAAAGCACAAAGCTGTTGTGTGGCCTCTTAGGGTTTCTGACATGTGGTGAAAGGCTCTAATGTTTCCTGCTTGATTCCAGGAGATCCTTTGCTTCGTTGATTTTTGTGGCCAAGTATGGCGAACCACCTAAAGAGCAAAAAAAGAGAGAAGAAAGGGAAGTGAATAGCATGTAATGTTGGATCTAATGTAATAATGCAGTCATTAGTTATGGGAAAGATATTTCATACACCATCTTAAAAGTTGTATTGATTTTCAAGTAAGAAATTGATGTAAGCAATTGCCATAAATTCAATGATTTTGGAGGCAATTACTCTTTCTTAGGCATAGAATGGACCTTGTAACTCTAATCCAGTTGCATTCAGAGACTAATCCCACTGAGAAATGAAGTTTTTGGAAGATCTACAGGTATAGTTTTTTTTCCCCTCTATAAGCAAACAATCTAAGACTGCCTTCATTGGTCCACTGGGAGTGGCTGATGGGAAACATCAGTATTGGGTTCAGTTACTGTCATTTGTACATTAATGTTACCTTTCACCCATATGAAACTGAGGTGGGCATAGGTAGTCCTTTGACTGGAGCCCAAGCTCAGAGGAAATGGGAGAATCCCAACCCAAAGTAGCTCTTCAAATGGTTTAGAAGTTATTACTATATCTCTACTAGCTGTACAAGCATTTACAAGTATTTCAGGACAGGGGCAGGGGCACAGGCCTGGGAATGAAGCGCTATAATGTTTTCAGCGTCTGCACAGCCCGTGACTAGTGCTTCAACTCTAGTAGAAGACCAGGATAACTGCCTTCTATAATAAGAAAGCTATGACATCTATTCCAGGATTTGTCCTGCCACGCTAGTTCATCATCGTTCAAGTAACAGCAGGCCAATATCAGACCACAGCAAATTTGAGACAACCCAGTATTCATTATTTATTTTCTGACAGCACAGAAACCCCATCTAAAGGAGTTTAGTTTTAATATAATTTGTTTCAGAAAAAGGACATGCACATAGCAGTCTTGAATTAAGGCACAGATGTACCAGCCAGGAATGTCAGATTAAAACTCTGTAAGCGTAGAATGCTTTCCCGTTCCCAGTCCTCAACACTGTCATTTCTTTCCAGTCCATCTAACAATTTGATTACAGTTCAGTAGTCTAGAGTTTGGTTTTTTGTTTTTTGTTTTAACTTTTCCCTCAAGTGCCAACCATCTGCCTCTTACTGCTGAAAACATTTGAAACTGTGCTGTCATGAGTTCACCACACAGTAGCACACACCTAGATGCTTGTCAGTGAAAACTTGTCTTCCACAACAGAACGTCACAAACAACCTTTCCGGAGCATCTGTTCAGTGGAATAACATGTTGAGGAAGAACCAAGCACAACTAATCAATGTTAGAGCTGAATTAGATGAAATGCATGGTTTATAAAAAGCACTTCTGAGACCATGTGAAAGCCGTGCCTGGGTTCATTTACTGTCATTTGTACATTAATGTTACTTTTCACCCATATGAAACTGAGGTGGGCATAGCTAGTCCTTTGACTGGAGCCCAAGCTCAGAGGAAATGGGAGAATCCTAACCCAAAGTAGCTCTTCAAATGGTTTAGAGGTTATTACTATATCTCTACCAGCTGTACAAGCATGGCATACAAGATCAGCAAAAATATTGTGTATCTGGATGGATTAGATTACAGCAAATATGAACCACACCCAGCGAAAATCTTTGTGCAGAGAAACCAAAACTTTCAAAAGATAATTGGCTATAGAATCAGACATAATTCTACAGACACAAAGAAAGTAAAAAGACAGTGCTCCAGAGATATTAAATACTAGCTAATTAATTCAGTATTAATCAGCTGAATAATTTTAAAACTTGTAATTTTATCATTCAATATTGATTCATCTCTAGTTTTCTGCTGAATACAAATTTCCATTAAAGAGATTGACATTATATAGGACCACACACCTCTGCCATTCACACTGCTTCGGACACAGAATATTGTATTACATATATTTTATATAACCTGTGCCAAGGTTCGGCAGGAACATGCATATCAGCTTTAAGGTACTGCAGGCAGTTCTACATTCAGACTAGTGCTTTTTGGAGCTCAGATCTAAAACGTTGCATATCCCTAATATACATCTGACAGCTCCAGGGGATAAACATGACAATCTCCTTCCACTGTATCCCCCAAACCTACCATATAGGTCAGGCAGAAAGAAAGAAAGTGACCCCAAATCACAGTGAGCTCAGAAATGAAACGGGGCTTCAAGTATTGGTCCTAGTCCAATACAGCTGACATAACATTGTTCTGGCTCTTTAGGAGCCAGGAGATGACACTGACTGAGGTCCACATTAACGTTTCCCTCAAGGACCATTCTCAAAATTGCAAGAAGTTGTTTCTCCACGTGTGTGGAACAGGGCTTGGAAAATATTCCATGCAGGAAATTATTGGTCGGCTAAAATCTGAAATATGCTGCTACCTCTGACGCCTGGGAAGGGCCAATGAGGATAGGTGATGGGAGAAAGAATCTCTTTCTCTCTCGAAAAGACTTTGAGTACATATGCAATGGACTGAGGGTTCAGCAAAACTCACTCTCTGCTTCCTGCAGCGCACTGCATCACCGCATGTCACTACAGCCTCTTTAAAACAACTAGACAGAAGTCCTTCACTCAGCCCGTGACATCTCACAGAATGCAATCTTGCCACATTAAGCCAGAGCGGCAGTATTTTGATCATTGTTTAATCAAAATCACAATTCTTTGTTTACATCCACATTTATTTTAGCCTGTGACTGTATCAAGCTCAACGCACACAAAACCCCCAATAAATAATGTCATTTGTTAAATCAGCACCATCAATGAGATCAACCACATTCTACACCTTTCACCTTAATGAGGTCAGAATTAATTTTATATTCCTGAAATGAAAAGGAACAGACAATAAATCTGTCAGCCAGATATAAAAATCTTCACTCCCCCTGTTTTGGCTTTTTAAATACTGTGTAGCTCTCAACCATCTGTTGTTTCAAAGTACAAAGTACAGCAATGAACATATGGGCTTCCTTCTCAACCAGCTGTAGTGTAGTTAAAGTTATAATAAGAGCTTTTTGGGGAGATCTGTTTGCATTAAAAAACTTGGCTCATTAAAACATCTGTGACAAGCTATATAATCTTTAACAGCACTAAAAACTAATACAAATTTGTCATTTGTATAATATTTTTTTCAAAAAAATTTTTTTCTTCTCCCTTATTTATGACTCTAAAGATTCTGCTTGAGAAAACTGCATTATTTTTCAAAGTGTCATGGTTAATATTTTTCTTTCTTCAAAACCTAACAGTTTGACATGTCAGTTTCAGAAATTCAGTACTCAGTAGCTAGTTAGGACTGTGATCTAGTGAATGACCCAAAAGGCACCCATTACACTCCTTGCCATAGGTCATGAAGTCTGGATGCTAAATCTGTTTTACATAAGGGTTTCATACAAACATTTGAAGGTTTTCTTTGAAATATGGTGCGTAAGATCTGGGTAAGATTAATTACAGAGTAATGGTAGAGAGACCAATAGCATGTTACTTATCCAACCAATATTTATCAAACACACAGCATACCTTTATCCGGATGGTTCAAAATCATGATTCGCCTGTGAGCATTTCTAATCTTGGCCTTGCCAGCAGACGGACTGTAAAATATATATTGAGAGTGCTTACCATAAATCATGACTCTTGCAGGCTGAAAACTAGCAATCGCTTTGCTTCAGAAAACATAAAATCTAGAGCTCTTTGCCATCTGGTGGCAAAAGACAATACTACATCCTTCAAGAAAAAAAAAATTGGGAGATGTGAGGGTGGTTCACCAGCACTTATGTATGGGGATAACCATCTAGGCTGGCATGCTGTTAGGAAACAGGAAAGTCGGGAATGGCTGAATTCCAAAACTTATGCAGAGGCCAAATGGAGAAACGTGATTTGGGACACTTCTACAGCCAACTGTGAAATAGAGAAACTTCTATCTGCTCAGGTTTTCTCTAGTAGAGTCAGGACTTCTCACATCGTAAACTGACCACAGCATGGTGTTGAATGCTGCCCAAACTGAATCTCCCATTCGGTCTTCTGCAGTGACGGAGAACATACAGCCTCCCAGCATCAGGAACCACACCTGTCAATGCTCCATCTGGAATGCTAGCAAATGCAACTTTGGTTCAGCCATCCTGAGCCCTTCCCTTTTGGGAAAGACGTAGACCAGCTGAAGCAGGTTGGGGCAGATCCTGCACATGAAGCAGGTTGGGGCAGATCCTTCAGGGCTGGCTACGACAGAGGAAAAACTAACTCCCAGCCTGGCTGATACAAAGAAAACAGATCTCCAACACAGAATATACCTTCTGGACAAGAGCCAGAATTGCCATTCCTTGCATATGAAATTTGCCTGATTCTTTCCAAGATTATCTTCAAAGTGATCAGACAAGAGAAACTGGTTCCTGAGTTTTATATATCTTCTACTCAGTAGAGTTAAGTTTAAGGTTGATATAAGCACAGTCAGAAACTCCAGCTTATCTGAGTTTCTGATTATAGACACCGTCTATCTGCACTTTCCTGACCCACATTGGTCTCTGCAAGCAGATGGTGAGTGAGGGCATCAGGGTAGAAATTCTGTGCATACCCACATTCTGGACTCACATGTACGCAAATTTCTGGGTAGGGTTGACATAATTCTGTGTACATTTAAACAGAGAATTGTAAAGGGGGTAGTTGACAGTGCTATAAGAGTTAATATTTTAAATTGATATGTAAACCCAGTAACTTTTTGCTCATTTTCCATTTCCATCCCCATTCCTCTTGTACTGTTTAAATTCCATTGTTTTATTTTGTAACATTCCTTGAATAACAAATTCAAAAAAGCACAATATAAAAATACATAAACTTAACTATATTTCAAAAGCATAATGGGGTAGCTATGAATGGCATTTATTTTGGAATGTTCTATCCTAACTATAGTTATGAAACAAGGAAGTCCTCCCAGTAAATTTCATACTGTACTTCTTTCAGATTAGCCTTTGTTTGAAGGCAAAAGGCTTACCTTATACCTAAAATAAGACTAGCTTCTCGAACATTCATTTTCGGTTCAAATCCACCTCTGTAATAGGAAGGAAGGGCCTGTAAACAAAATAAAGGAGAATTTTAGAGGAAGTGTAACATCCTCAAAATCATCATATTGAAGCATTTGTTTCAATGCTGTCATTGTTACGGTTCCAGAATAATCAGTACTATTCTCTGCAGAAAGAAGTAGGAAGCATAGATGGGAAATATATTAGAAAAAGCATCAGAGTTAAAAATTAAATAACTTTACCTAGAGCGCTGTGTCCTCAATCTCCAAAGTAGCCATCTGGGGCTGCTAATGAATTTCAAAAAACACTGTAGACTATAGTTTGCATCCTGCTGTATGCCTTTGGCAAACAGGCGGAAACAGGACATGGGAAAAATCACAAGAGAATATTTTATTTGTTCCATGGCAAACATCAGGTACTGGAAATAATTAAGGATCCTATTAAAATATCTATTGTAGATTTTACAAAAAGAGATATATAGGTATTAAAGGATATACTATCAGGCAGCATCCAAACTGACCAAGTAAGATCTTGATAATTTTTTAAAAGAAATCTGTTTTTTAACTGTTTTAACTCTGTCTTAGAAGGCAAGAATCAAATAATAATAGGCTGTTATTGGCATAGATTAACAAAAATGCACATACACAAATCACAGACTTGATTTTACTGAACTGGAGCTCTGGAAATTTCTTCGGCTAAGGCATCCTCAGACTTTCAGTTCCAGTTCACCCAGATATAAAAACCAAAAAGCTATTCCTTCTGCACCAAATACAATTTGTGCTAAATCAGCAATCAGCAATGCGGCATCCAGGGGATCCCAACAATTAAATAAAAATTAAAACTGCTGCACCCTCATCAAATGTCAGTAATACTGGGTGACTTGGCAATCTTGGAAGATTCTGTTCATTTTTTTAAAAAATGTATTTTTATATTTGTGTCGCTGGACTAGACTACACAACAGCCTCTAAACCACAAGGCAACTATATTTAAAAAGCATGGCTAATACAAATGGATGTTGACTATCTTTATTTTGTTCCATACTGTATTTGCTGTGTAAAAAATTTTAAAGAAATAAACATTAAGTTAAAATAATGTCTTACAGTTTCATATCAGTGTTGAGTATTTCATTTTAAAAACACACTGTTCTTATGACAAGATTTATAGAGACCAGGTACATAATTGGACCAAGGTATGTGAGAAGTTTAAGAGGAATAAAATGATTTGATTGGTTCTGATTTGATCCCCACTTGGCAACATTTAAGTTACTGAGAAAATGCGTCTGTATTATAAAAGTATATATGTTTTAATCATTTAAGTCATCTCTCATTATTTATATGCAACATGTCCCTTGAAAAAATTTGAAGAAATTATGACATCAATCTGTTTTTGTAGAGGAAATATGTGAAATATTAAAAATAATGTCATTTAATTAGTTAAGTAATTTCTAGATAATTCTTCACTCCAAGTCTTCTGTACTTTCCTCTTATTCACTAAAATAAAAGTACAGAATTTAAAATGTGTGAATTTAACAACTTACAAAACAACACATTCTTAGAACCATGCTAAAAAGCAACATATTTAAAATCAGAAGTAAAAGTTGAAGCGAGGGATACAGGATCTGCAGTCATAGGAGCCACATGGAACACCAATTCCCTTTTTCTTTCAAGCAAACACAACTGTGAAAACTGACAGTGAGATTTCCTTTCTGTTTTGAAGCAGGACACACCAGAACACTTTGCCAGTAAGGCAAAGAGTTTCACAAGAAGGGTGCCAAAATGGACAAGTTCCTCATCAAAGAACTTCCTACCTGTGGTATCCCAAGCAAGTCTTCCCCTTCCCCATTCCAGGCGTAAGCTTCTGTTGAGCAGATCACAATGTATCCATTTGGAAAGCACTCAGTTGTTTTAGACAAGTATGTATATCCTGAGGAACAGGCTTGTGCAAATTAATCCGGATTCAGTTTAAACTGGAGATACAGTGGTACCTCTAGTTATGAACGCCCCTACTTACGAATTTTTCGAGATACGACCAGCTCCGCCCCCAAAAATTTACCTCGACTTG